ACACGGCCTTGGGTTGAAGATTATAATAGTGTCAGAACATCCTTTTAGGTCATCCCACACTACGTTGGAGTTTTGGCCCGGATCATTATTAAATAATACTATCGGATTTAATCTTTCTCATTACTCCACTAACGCCACCACGTGCAGAGAAACCTTCGTTAATCAAGTGAACTCATTTGTGGTTGTTATCTCAGAGAGCAGCTTATAAGTAACATTCGTTTCATAACTACTGTTATCATTTTGTTATTTAATATACCATTTATATTGTAACTGTAATTTGTTGCCTTTCGCTTTACTCATAAAGACACAATGAGGTTTGCAGTGTTAATTATTTTTTGGCATAACACTGGTAACTTTGTGTATTGTTATATCTTCAATAAGCTCTTTTGTTGGGATCCATCACAAGCCGAAAACGTTACACAGAAGATCAAGATCTTGTAATATCCTGCGATGTATCCGGAAGTCATGAAATAAAAATGAATGTCTGGAATGTGTACTGACACATTCCACCTGTCATACATCTAGTAGAGACACAAAAATCCAGGTTACTCAATACTATATTCTCCTCAAATTTATGGCTGGTTGACCACAATCAACCAGTAGGATTTTTACTCAAAGTACGGCACAATAAGACATTACTAATAAGTCTTCATTTGGTTGGCGGTTGTTAGGTGTGGCATTGGGATTTCTATCTCGGTGATGGGTGGCATAGTAGGAAGGCTGGCAAATTAGGAATTAACCTGTGTATACAAGACTTTCAGCCTATCAATGCTGATATCCTCTTTTCTGTTTTTATCGATGGTCCGGTGCTTTAATTCTCAATCTAAATAATTATTGGGTCCTATATGGACCACACCTAAAGGTATGCACTATACGTTAAAACGAATTGGAAGACGATGTCGGTTGATTGTGACTGGAGGTGAGCAGATCTAACGGTTCATTAGGGTCGAATATCTAAATTTATTGAAAAGATGGAGGAGGGGTGAGTTATTCTGGCAGTCCTGATACAAAACCGTTGTGCTGCAGTATATTCAGTATAAGCTCTCGTTCCACTGTGAATTCTGTGGAGCGGCAACTGAGGGCGCGTTGACACATTATGGTTTGTCGGTCATTCCAAGGATAGCGGCTTCTATAAATTCAGTTACAGAGCTAAGCAAGCTATATTCCCGTTGTAAAAGACGGTGAGTTAGAGAGGCTTGAAAATAAAATGATAAATAGAATTTATTACTCAAGTTCCTTTCTTTCTGAGATTGTCTTCTGAATTTCCCTATTCACCCTCGGTGAATTTATGGTTCAAAAACTCTATTAGACGTCGAGAATCCACTCTTTTCATAGATCAAAAACGTCTCGCAGTTTACTTCAGACATCCAACACACTTCTGGACCAAACAATGTAGTCGCAGGCGCCTTCTCTCGTATAACTTCCTTGAACAGTTTCCAAGGAATCGACCTTCTTAAGCCCTCCCAGCTTCAGAGAAAGACAATGACCTTCGGCACGAGTTATCCGCAACTAACCTTAAATTGCTCATTAAAAAAGATGGGAACAGGTAAGGAAACCTTACTACGCGACACATCTACCAGTAGGGATCTGTCAATCGTGCCGAAACATTATCGACGCAACGTCTTCAATACGTGGCACAAACGTCCTCACCCAGTTGTTTGTGCAACCATCAAGCTTATAGCAGAACAGTTCCTGTGGTCTGGTATGAATAAAGACGTAAAGGAGTGGGTACGGTCCAGTGTAACCTGTCAGAAATCTAAGGTTATTAGATACAACAAATGTCCTTAGGTCCATTCAAAACTCCTAGTGCTCGATTCGATCGTGTTCATCTGGATTTGGTAGGACCGTTAACAGATTCAAATGGATACTCTTATCTTTTAACCTGCGTAGACTGCTTCACTCGATGGCCAGAAGCAGTGCGTATCAAGGACATCACTGCTGAAACAGTGGCCAGCGATTATGAAGGTGCTAGATGTAAAAACGCTGTCAAACTGAAAATACTTGTGATATCTTCAGATGCCACCTTAACCAGTAACACCTATAATCCAAACGTGCTAACACAGTAAAATCACAAGTGAAGAGGTTCAAAGATATATTTGATAGACTATCAACATATCGAGAATTGACTACTCTAAACTGGTTACCGGTTGTAGGAAGATTTGAGAACAGCGTTCATACTCGTTATCTGGTGCGGATGCATGACTGAGCGCCTTCAGCCAGGTGGATCCCTTAAAACCAGTGTGGTCAGCATACAATGTCGAAGACTTACAGAACTGTTGATTTTCAGTATTTATGTGCCGCTACATATATTTAGTCAAATTTAGGAACAGAAGTGAAGAGTAACATAACAAGTGAAAAAAACATGAATCAATATAGAATAATAAGCAATGTTATTATTGGGCGTGATAAGTGCAGAAAAAGGTCACATGTATCGGATTAGTTCATGATAAAAAATTACATTTTTGGTTGTGTTTAGGGATCTTTGTGGATCAAAAAAATTAAATAAAATAGCTGAATATATTGTCACTAACCTGAAAACCTTAATATACTATTAAGACACAAATCATATAAAGCAAACAGCCTAGTAATTCAACTCAGTTTAAAGTTTGAACCAAGAAAGCGCCACTTCCGACAGATGCGTTGCTTCCAGGGTAAGTAGTCCTGCATCCGAAATAGTCTCGGTCGTTACAGGAATTAATTACATGGTCACTAGTCATTCAGCATCTAGAACTTATGCTGAAAACTACTGAATCCAATACTGATACCAATACTTTCTGGCTGATTGTTGTATAAGCATAGTTTATTCAACAAAACTCCGATTATAAGTCACTCTGTCCTCAAATTTCGCCGTAACCGAAAAGTTTCCTTAAAACAGAGTACTTCACTAAAGAAGATTGGGTTTTTTCTCGAATTAATCTGATCTTCGTCTTTAATCACCTGGAATCGATTGCTTAATTTTTGATCCCAGGATCGACAATTCCGTTTCTCTAAAAACACAGTAACTTCACTTGCATGCACTGGTGGATTAGCTTTTAAAATTTCAAATATAAGTTTCCAATTCTGTCATTTTTTGAGTTGATAGCTTTGAGACTGGGAGTAATTATATATGTAGGTAAATAGATCACTTATTTCCTCGGTTTTTGTATAAAATTATAAGAACATCAAGCAGCCAAAAATCAGTTTGACTGTTAAAGTAAGCATAGTACGAATATTTGTACCTAATTTGTCTCTTCAGTGACGTGAACAGCCATGTCCTGTACTTGCAATACTTACCCTTCGAAGTAATGTTCGGTGACTTATATTCAATCGGATTAAATCTCCTAGTGACCGCTCATACTGAGTAGTGGATCTAATTAACGAGAATATGCAGTGATATGTGCCGGGGTACGATTATTTTGTTCAGTTTTCATGGCCATTCAAAAACACTGGCCTAGATGGCTTAGAGATGCTCTGCGAATATTGTCTAAGAGAATTCCACAGTTCGCTATTTTTAAATGCTAGCCCTAGCTAAAAAGGTGGATAGTCGATAAGTCTATGAAATTGTCTAATTGGCTAATGGGCTATGACAACATCACTTTCGAATTTTGTAACACTGAGGTTCAGAGCTAAACCGCACAAAAAGCCTCACGCATTTTGTTATAACTTCGTCTATTTATTTAAGCACAAATCAAGTGATTTATGTGAGGACTGGAATATTATCCGAGCTGTCAAACCGAAGAAACGCTTTCCTAAGTGGTCACTTCCCGAGCTTTTGACCTACAGGTCTAGTCCATAAGTCAGTGGAGTAAGGTTAAGAGATGCACCCTGATGGTAGCCGGTGACTAATAATAGGTTCATACGTCATTTGTTCCTTCAGAGTCCTGGAGCACATGTGCACCATCGGTTTGGAATCAGGGTTTTCCAAATCCCCTAGGTACATCCTCCGTATCTACCAACCCGGTTAGGGCGCCGAACATTCGCTTTCCGCCCTCTCAATTTCGTAAACAAAACTCCAGCCGTGAAAAGACAGTGGCTGCATATATGTGGCCAAGAGAGAGCTGACTCTCCCACCCTCGATTGTGCCAGGGAATTTGGAAGCTTTTATGACTACAACTTAAGAAGACACTCATTATTTACAGCCTAAGATTGATCTGATTGTTTTGTCCTCATTGGCCGATCGAACCAAATAGCTCTCTTACCACCTGGAAATCACACTTGTTAGTTTCCATAAAGCGATATTTTTTAGATAGTATGGGCAGCTAATACCAAGGTAAACGTAAAACTTATCATGTTATTGTCATTGTAAGTTTCTACACTGCATAAAACAATGAATAAATAATACAAATAGTAGACATAGTAGCAATTGTATTAGTTGTAGTAAAGAACTACAAAAGAAACATTTCTGGATGTTAAGATAAAAAGAAATAGATTGAAGATATGTCCGTCACAGCAGTCTGGAAAATAAATATTTTGTGTCTTTGTGGTCTAGCTCAAACAGCTTTTCAATGTCCTCATGCCTACAGTCCATGCGTTGACTACCTATTATAAATCCAATAGACTCGTTTTTTGCCTTGCTATGATCACATTTAAGCTACCATCCCGCTTCATTTATTATTACACATCAAAACTAGCAGTGTCTGAGCGTTCATAGCATCCAATCTACTTACCCAATTCTACTCAATTTTACTACCTCCATCTGATTCTCTCTCACTTTAGACCATCGTTAATCACCAAACTAAGATAATAAGGCTAGAAATCTGAAGCTGAATTAGCACTTTATGGTCTTCCAGAAATTGGAGGAAGAAGGAAACCTTGATTATGGTTTATTTAAGTTACAACAGTACTCGTTGATTGATTTCTGGGAAGACCCTTACTATTTCATTATCATTGTGAACTTTGTATAGCTAAACTTAATAGTACACCTATTCGATAAGTGTAGGCCTAATTGTTTCAATTTTTTGTAAAGGCTATTTATCTCAGAATTGTTTGTTTCCCGATCGTCTGGTCACTGTCTCTTTTGTATGTTTATACATATGGACCAATCAATTAAACTGAATCACTGTTGTTCTCCCTCATCGATGCAAAACAAGCTAATCAATGGAGTTCAAATGAAAGCAAATTGTATAGTAGATTGTGATTATTGTCATTTACCTTGTATCATTCAAAAACATAATAAATCTCGTAAGTTATAATTGAAAAACTTTGATGGTTGTTTGTTAATTTATGTGTTTTTTTATATGGCGTGGGACAACACTCGTAGTTTCATAATCAGTTTCGCAAAAATGGACTTTTATTTTACATCGAATATCCTATTAATATTTGCGTCTTATTATATGTTTGTTTCCTAACTCTAGCGACATGAAATTACCATTTATCGCTTAGCATTGAGTATGTATTATTTGAATGTACCCGGAAAATTGTTTTCAGACTAACCGATAATAGAGATGAGTAATATCGACCATCTTAAAAAGCCTTTATGTCAATAATTTAGTATCTAACATATAATGCACTTTATCCTCCATATTGAACTTTGATTTCGTTTCCAATCATATCGTAATGTTTATTGTCATATCTTCTTAACTGAGTACCTACTTAACTTGAACATTAATACCATACTATTATCTTAAGTATTTGTGTCTTTTACATATTGTTTAAAATTACTAGCTATCTTTTCTGAACACTTAAACACATAAGTACTAGCTAAACTAAGCATTTAACTCTAAACACAGGACATAAGTCGCGTATTTCAATCACAATATGACTTTCTCATGTTAGGAATATGTCTAATCGAAAAGTTCCCTTGATTACTCTACTACATCGACCTTATTATATGAGTGGATGCATTGTTCTGGTTACTCATTTAAATCTAAAGATGTTTTTAAAAGTCCTACTGATCAACTTTTCGATGTACACCAAAACAACTTCATTTCAACACTTTACACATACAGTTTATCCAATTCTTTATGCCCCAAGTATTTAATTGTCGAAACATGAGCTTTCTAATGTTGTGCAGAACTTGCTTGATTGTGTGTAGCCAATTATAGCAGACTTCTAATCCTGTGCTACAACTACCAGGGTGTCGATGGAAAGACCATACATCAGGTACACTAAGTATCTTACCGTTAGCTTTTCTTCTCATGTTAATATTAAGTGAAGCACAGCAATGAAGTAGGGACTTTCTTAACTAATATTTTCGTTCAAATTTTTATTTTCTAATTTCCTTTTATACTCGATGATTTTATTCTCTTTTAAATGACACATCTCAGTTTCTATACCCGCCAGCTTTTATAGTGTAAAGAAAGCAAAATTGAAATACATTTACGTAGACGAGATATCTGTCTATTATAGGGCGAGTATATCGCTCATCGACCCAATCCTTTTGACTGTTGAATAGATTTTGAAGAATAGAAGTATTCACACTTTACTATAGGTTAGTCATAGATGTCATCAAGCAATGTTAGGATTTTTGGTGGATCAATCGAGCCAGCCGTGTTGAAGCTAAAAATATAATACTAGGTAGATATGGTTAATTGTTTAATAAGAGATGGTTAGGGTATTCATCAGGTATATCAAGTCATTACCAACATCACAGAGTAATGTTGATTTATGTAAGGGTCTGTTGGAAGCAAGCTAGGTATGTCAGTCTACAGAGCCATCGACTTTTGGTCTGAACCGTGTTGGTAGGCCCAAACTGTCTAGCTAGGGTCCGGAGGATAACCCTAAATAGCATTTAGACGTATTGAGCGAAATTACACAATGGTACAAATGGATTGACTCTATCCCATCCATAGATCCAATATCACTCCGTACATAACTTATTTCAATCCTTTCTTGTCATGCCATATACTCTATGTTTATTCTTATTATCATTGCTACTACTATTTCGCCTTCTGCCTTATTGTTTATTTACCCTCTCTGAGTTCATTTAATGTTCCAACTTAAATCGCCACACATTTGTCCAAGGTTCTGTTCTGTTTATGATTGACTGACTGCACGTTTAATAAATTCTGATGAAATACCTAGTTTTAGAAAGTTAGCAATAATACTGTATTGTAAAAGCGGACATAAGCGAGAAATAATATTCAAGCCTTAGGTTGACGGATTCACACTTAAATAGATTAATTTATAGCTTCTACCTCTTCTATGAACTAGGGCGTGAACTACATAGTTTATTTAAAACCTAATAATAGCCATAATATACGGTCTTCTGAACTGCAATAATTAAAATTAAGTTTAAGCCTGCAGTTTTGAACTTGTAATCTAAGCAATAATGTCATTGAATCGCATCAAATTGTCTCAGCAATCTATAACTTCGAACATGTATACCTCCAATTCGATTTCAAGTGTGAGCTGTCATGTTAATTACGAAGAAACAAATAAAACACGATGCAACATCATATTATGTAAGATAGATGAATCCACTTCAGAGGCGTTATTGAGTTGGTTTCATTATCTTTTAATTAATATATTCAATGACGGTTACAAGCTTGCTATATTTCTCATAAACTTAGTATTTTAGTACATTGCGCTGTAACTGTTTTTGACTATTCGTCCTTTATGCTTGAATATAAGCTTCTCATTCAAATGTTATCAGAATAATTTCAGAATGAACTATTATTTATCTCGATTCCAGACATTTTCTGTTTAAGCACTCAATTTTATTAGGAAGAGGGATTTTCGTTTTTTCCTAACTAGAATGAGTTTTACAAATAGTTACCTATAAAAATTTCTGTTTTCTTTAGTTCTAAGTGGATAAAATAGGAAAGTTTGTAGGCGGATATTTCAATTTGGCTATATGTAACTGTTATGCATGGAATGTGTATTACATAGTAGTTTCATATTTTTATTGATACTTATAGATCTTAGTATGTAACCAATTATTATAATAATATTCTAAATGTCTTTATCTACACTCCGTACACTTAAGGACATTCGGTATTGCTATAAACTCCCAATTAAATGGCGCATGCACAGATATATTGAAATCGGTTCAGTATTTCCCTCTATACCTTTTCACAATATATATAGTTGTAATCACTATCGTGTCGATAATTAATACGTCTTAGAATTATCATTTGTATGGGTATGGGAACTGGATATCCGTATATATTTTTCTGTTTTTATCTCTATTAAGAATAAATATATGCATAATACTGTGTGAGGCAAATTGCTTATACCTTGTCATTAATCGTCTTCGCTATTTTGTGCTTTTTCTTGGGACAAAGTGGTCCACATTTTTCTATTCAGAATATTATTTTCTCTCTTAATTAGTTAACCTTTATTCTATATTCTACATTCTTCTGTTAATGTAAACATGACTTCTTTGAGGTTGCACCCACCTACTACAAAAGTATCATTTTAAATAATGTCTCGAAAGTTAACCTTAATGATTATCTGACATTTAACTGGAACTCATAAACAATGAATTCGGGAAAGCTAGCACAGTTTTAAACCTGGACTTGGATGTGTAGATCAAATATTCACTCTTCATCAGGCTTTGAAACGTGGGCATGTTAGCAAGGCCCAACCATAATTGCATTTGTTGACCTTAAGGCGATATTCGATCCCATCAGTTGCGCTTTGTATCTCTCGTTAGGGTATCTACCAAAGACGTACGCAGTGCAAACACTAGCTGCAAACTATCGTTCGGGTCAGAGCTTATGGCAAGCGGTCATGGGAATTGTCAACTTGTAGTGGTGTTTTTCATAACTGGTCATCTTTTTTGTCTAATTTCGTTATATATATTTTCCTAGAACTATTACGTTCCTTATCAAACTTTCAAGAGATTAGTCTTCTCCCTATAAACCTACTCATCGACCTCAAATTGGCAGTCCTATTTAAGGATTGTCATGCGTAACAATACAAGCATATTCAGTATATACTTCTCTCCCTCCAAAATTTCGCTTCACGACAAGAGGAGATAAATTTGTCCCATTTATCGACCACTTCAATTATCCTAGAAGTTGCATAAGCCCTGGTGGGTTGGTAGTTAACTAAATTTTGCTACGGATTCAGAAAGCTCGTTTGGTTTTTGGTAACGTTTATCACTTGTGGCGTAGGCAGGGTGTCTATCGCAGAAGTTCATTCTGTATCTTTATATGTCTGGGAAATATTGCATATGAAAATAAAAGATATGAGTAGGACATGAATATTTCACCATAGGTGCTTTCGTAGCATTTCTCAATTATTATAGAACACCAGATTCAGCTATTTTGTGGTTTGACTCGGGACACTAAGCAAAGATGGGAAGCTGATTGATGAAGTTGTGAATCCTCACTGACTAGAGTTTCTAGAACATATGTTATGTATACTAAACTACCACGCCTTGAGACGCGATGTTGGATTGAAGGGACTACCAAACCAAAGCATGGCATCGGTCTCTGCAATCATTGAAATCTAGACCGGGTCATGTCTGTAGATTCAAACTACTTGACTGCGGTCGAGGTGGTGATTGCCAGACGTTGTATGACTTGGATCAGATACATCTATCCATATCTTTCTATAACTTTTGAATTTAGTGTCATCCCACGCTTTCCATTCTCTGATCTCATTTATGTTTATCTATTACTGTTTATTGTACTCTGGTATATCACTATGGTGATATGTGGTGAAACTGAGCTGATGCACATTTGTACCAGATTCTACACTGCATATAGATGACTGACTCTTCATAATTAAATTTCCATTACAGTTGATATTGTTTTCTCGTCTGCTTCTTGTTAGCTTCCTTTCTGACTGTCCTAATATGAAATACGATAATTTGGATTGACAGATATTCCTTCCAGGTCGTAAGTTGTCTGTTACTGGTTAATTCCAGGGAATAAGAATGAGTTTCATTCATTCCTATCGAGTACAGGACTGTGTAATCGGCTTCGAGCCACTTTTTGTATTTCAAGGTTAATGATACTACTTGGCTGCCCAAACTGATGTAGATGCTACAGGGTTCAAGTGTAAAACCTGTTAATTGGGAGTTGACTACTTTACTCACTGTGTTTTTATAGTTTATTATGTTACCGATTATATAAATTTTGGTAGTGACCTATTGTTACAATTATTCTATGACTCATATTTCCCATTCATGTTATGTATGATTTACATTTTATTCCAAGTAGACATCGCTTCACTAAATTCTACCAAAGAACCATGTTCAATAAGAAATTCAATTTATGTACCTGAAAATCGACAAACTATTATGGGATCATTTTGTCGACAGATAACCTCGTCCATTATTCCTCCTTCAGACCCGATTTTATCTTATTGTAAACCAACAGATTTAAATTTGACTTCAAATAATAATTATATTGCATCAGTGCCATCGATGTTTCAACCGTTACCTTTTTTACTACAATCGACTTCGTCTTCAGTGATACCAGTTTCATCGTCATCAACCTTATCGTCCAGTTTATCATCTTTTCATAGTCCGTATAATTTACCATCGTCTGTTTATCCATCCGTACCATTTTCTAACCATCTATGTCCTTCATACTGTTCTTTCTCATCTCATAGTTTAAAACCTATTCCAAGCGTTAAACCTTATTTATCCTCTAATCATACATATTTAGAGTCATCTAGGATTATACTGGATAATGTCAATAGTAAATCATTTAATCAAACGACTACATTCAATGCCCCCAGTACGACAATAACAACTGCGACTATGAATACCGCTGCTATAATTACAAATACAACAGAAGATTGTGCTTATCATCAATCCGAGCAATTAAATTCAACTATATTACATCATGCATCCAGTGATAGTTTATCTAATCAAGACAGTAAATCCTCTTTCTTATATCCACCTGTTTTCAATTTCGCCTCTCCTAAAATTTCTGCCATCGTTGAAAATATTAGTGATAATAATAACTCTTTAACTAATTCAGTTGCTGATCAATTCCCAACATCTAGTTCAAATATTCCTCAAACTAGCTTAATTCCATCATCAACATCATTGACTTGCATAAATGTATCTCAATTAACACAAACCTCTACTGTGTCTCCAACTCAACTGCTTAGTAATAATACCAACGATAATCTATCGAATAACTTCGAAAATGGTATGCTGATTACTAACAGTAATAGTAATAGCAGCGGTAGTAGTAGTAGTAGTAGTAGTAGTAGTAGTAGTAGTGGTACCATTACTACTAGTTGCATCAGTACTATCAATGATGATTTGAATATTGACAAAAAATCGCCTAGTCTTAATATTAACAATTCATCTGAGTCAAATACTTCGGAAAGCACAAATGCTGACGAAAAAGTAAGATCATTTTTGATTTTATAATTCTTTTGGCTTTTATGCTTTAGTAGTAAATACTATAATGATATAGTATGGTATGGGTCGCAATGATATGATAGTTAAAGCACTAGAACTTCAATAAGTTGGTTCCAATTTCTGATCCCACTTATTTTAATTTTGGTACCCAACTGGTGGTATCACTGGCTCCCCCACTGTGTGTGGCTCGAAGCCAAATTCATGGTTAATATGTTACATGGTATGAATACTATTATAGGAATGAAGATGAACGACATTAGATATTATCACTAATCGGTTCAGTAAATTGAGTATGAAACAATATTGAATTGTCTATTTCCTTTGGATATTAATCAATTTTTCAATGTATAAACAATAAGCTAAATAATTTGATTTAGTAGCGTGTATATTGTAGCGGGCGGTGTCCAAAATCTGATACTGATACACTGTGTACTACGCGCCACTTCCCCAACTGACTAATTGAGTGAGAACACAACAGTAAGCGAGAGTGTATTGGGCTACCAGAAAAATGCAAAAAACATATATATATATATATATATAGTCAGTTGACTATTGGTTTCTTCTCTCAAATTTTTTTCAGTCGCGATTTTGATGCCTGTCTGGTGAGCAAATTACCAGTTCGACTGTCTCAGGCTTACTGCTAAATTTGATTGACCATTTGTTCTGTCATCGAGAAATTTTTGACATAAGTTCGCATATTGATTAATCCTAATATGTTATGAGTTATTTTAGAAGTTGAAGAACCCTGTATTTCATTTTAAAAATAAATATTTATCGTTTATACTTAAAGGCAATACAGTGGCTGTTATGCTCGCTTAATTGATTTATGAATTACTGTAAATATTGTAATATGATTACTCATTCGACATATACTTGGATACAAACCACCCTCCAAGTACAAGGAATAATGATGCTACCAGGTTGCTCAAACCGAGGTACGTGGAACGGGATTCAAACCTAGGGCATGGTGGTTGCGTTCCTTAACCACTAAGACATCATTCCAGACTAATAAGATACTCACGGGACCAATCCAAGTTGTTTTTATGTAGCAGGACCACTTTGTTAATATATATTAATAGGATAAAGCTATTATTGATGCATAGAATATCCGGACAGAGTAATATGATTATTAATTTATTGTAGCTTAACAAATAAATAAATAATCACTTAAGTCAAGTTTAAGAAACAACATGTTATTCAGTCACATATTATGTTTCTTTCTCATTTGTCTGTCCAAGTTTAATAAATTGTAAAACCATAGTTTTGATAAATTGATTCACAACTGAGTAGTTCACAGTTTAAATAAACTAATGTATTTCGGTAAATAAGCGTAGCTTTGTATACTCTACTTCGAGCCACGCTTTTTATGTGAGAGTGATAGATTATTCGGCTGCCTGAATCAAAGTAACTAGAACTAGATTCAGGCCTGCAAACAAATTAATAATGTTTTAACAACTAAGCTATCCCTTCATTAACCTGTAGTCTAAGTCTATACGATGATATTTTAATTAGACATTCTAACACCAATTGAATTCTTAAGCTAATTTTTAGCATGATTTACTTTTGACATACTTTCTTCTCTTGGCGCTTCTGTGTAAATACTTTTTACAACTGAATACAGAAGGCGGACGTATCGTAAATGCCAGAGTGGTTTATGCCAATCTGCCCCATCTTTTGCACTGTCATGATGTTATTCTGGTTGTTAAAGGTTGGATTTACAACGCACCAATAAGAGAAGTTCTCCTCTGTGCTTCTGGTACCTGGTCTTCTCAAATCGGAGATGTTTAGCAACTCTCTGTGCTTGATCATCGTTGTCTGTGAAGCATCGTTGACAGTTAGTAATGTTGAGGTTTGGGAATATGTGTTTGAATGCAGTGACGGTAACTAAACTGATGTTACTATCTTGAAACACTGGGTTCGGTGGTTTGGACATGTTTTGCGGATGTCTTCTCAGTTCCTTCTATATAGCGCATTATTTGTCGACATCTGAACGGTGTGATAAAGGCAGAATGGTGTATGATTTATAAAATGGGGCTGTGCTATGAAAAAAAGTTGTGTAGGACTGGCTTCTATCTATCCATTGCCCCCCAAATGCCCTGGTACGGCCGAGAGTGGGGAGAGTCCGCTCTCCCTCTCGAAATGCTCTCACACGGCCACGCGTTTATAGCCTCTGCCAGGGAAGTCCTACTCACTGCCTTCTCGTGGCGTGGGTGTTGTTTACGAAAATGAGAGGACGAAAAGCGAATGTCCGGCGCTTTAACCGGATTCCAAATCAATGGTGCACATGGGCTCCAGTATCCTGTGGGAACGAATGGCGTATGAACCAATCGTTGGTCACCGGCTACCATGGGACTGCATCTCCTTACGATGCTCCACTGCCTTGTGGGTTAGACCCTTAGGTCAAAGGCTCGGGGTGTGACCCCCTAAAATAACCACCTGCTTCGGTCTGGGCACTTGGGCAGTATCACAGCCCACACGCAAATGATGAACTCTCTATATCTATGGAAATTACACTTCTCGCTCCGAATAACAGTCAAATGATCCAAATTATTATCATTACTATTATTATTATTGTTATTATTATTTACTACATCATTATTCACCCTCTTTTATTCCTACTCCGTCTATACTTATTTTTTCAGTTTATACAGCAGCTCGTCTTTGGTGGAAATTCGACTCTATCTAAACGTTCTCGAGTCACTGTCCGGTTGAAAATTGTATGTTACCACCGAATACGAGTACTGAAGCAGTTTTTCTGAAACCACGTGCACCATTCAAACTGGCTGCCTTCAACGTTCGCACACTTATGCAGGTTGGACAACAGATAGGGCTGGCTATGTCTTTGGAAAGTCTTAATATTGATGTTTGCTGTCTATCTGAGACCCGTATTCAAGACTCTGGTTAGGTACTACAAATTCGCTCTCCATCTGTCGCTTCGAAAAGCTTGTTTTACATGCGCTTATCCGGGGACCCTGTGGCATCTTCGTATGGTCTTGCTGGCGTTGGTGTCGCACTAAGCGCTAGAGCTGAGGCAGCACTAATCGATTGGATCCCCATTAACGGTCGGTTATGTGCTGTTAGATCAGAAAGTCCCATCAAAGTGAGAAGAAATCGGCGTGAGAAACGATGTCTTTTCGTCATCTCCGCCTATGCCGCGACAGATGGCAGCCCGGATGCAATCAAGGATGGGTTTTACCACCGGTTATCTGTTCTTCTCCAGAAAGTGCGTTCGACAGATATTGTAGTACTAGCCGGAGACTTGAATGCTCAGGTCGGGCGTCTAGGTACAGAAGAGAGTCGTTTAGGTGGCCGATGGGGACTCGTTGGTCGCAGGTCAGATAACGGGGACCGTCTACTGCAACTATGCACAGGCCACAACCTGTTTCTGGCTAGCACTAACTTTCGGTACAGTCATCGCCGATGTGCCACCTGGCGTCCTCCCTCTGCATCTCAAGCCTGGACTCAGATTGATCACATCGCGATCAGCTACCGCTGGCGTGGTTGTGTACAAGACTGCCGCTCCTTTTGGAGTACCTATCTGGACTCTGACCATGCCTTGGTCTGCGCCAATCCTACCTTGCTTTTTAGTGGACAACGAAGTGACTACCAACAACGGATTGATATTAGCAAGCTGGTTGCAACTTCTGTTGCTAGTAAGTATCGAACCGAGCCAGCTTCTAGGCTAGCTACCATTTTTACCGAAAAGTATAGATGAGCATTGGTTGTAACTGCATGACGCCATCAAAATGGCGGGAACAGTCAGTTGTGGGTTTGCGAAACGTCCCGCTTTTAAGCACTGGGTTTCTTCTGGTTCCTTACAACTCATTGAAACCCATCGGTCTACTCCTTGACCAATGCACGTATAGTGAAAGCCAGAGCGGCTTATGCCAATCTGGGCCATCTTTGGCGCCTTCGTGATGTTAGTCTGGCTGTAAAATGTCGGATCTACAACGCGTCGGTGAGAGCAGTTTTGCTCTATGCTTGTGAAACCTGGCCTCTCCGAGTTGAGGACGTTAGACGACTCTCTGTGTTCGATCATCGCTGTCTCCGAAGGATTGCTGACATTCAGTGGCAACACCGTGTCAGTAATGCAGAGGTTCGGCATCGTGTGTTTGGTCACAGAGATGATAATGCAATTAGTGTCACCATCTTGAAACACCGACTTCGGTGGCTTGGACATGTTTTACGAATGTCGTCCCAGAGAATTCCACGTCGTGCATTATTTGTCGACTCTGGGACTGGTTGGGAGAAGCGGAGAGGTGGTCAGTATATGACATGGTGTCGTGGTATGAAAGAAAGCTGCAAAGGTCTGGCTTGTGTTGGTCCTTCACGACTCCCTGGCTGGGGTGCGAGAGATGGTGCAACACAGTGGCTAGAGACGTTATCAGATATGGCTCAGAATAGAAGCCAGTGGCGATCCTGCTGTAACCTTCTTTTACTTTCTTCATAAAAAGTGGTTGTGTCTGCCTTAACTGAAAGATTTCTTCTGATTGTACCTGTCTGTTCCCTCATTTTTACCATCATTATTATTACACCACCTTACATCAATCTCTTTTTTTTCTCCTTCCCCTTAAATTCTCATTGTTTTGTATGGCGCATATATATTTTGCTCATTCTTGTACCAATATGTATGTGTTCAAATAAATAAATAACTCAACGGTTGGGATCCGAGAAATGGTGCAAGTCCATGGCTTAATACATTCTGATAATGTATTAAGCCGTGGACTTGCACCACCATCCATTTGATCATAGGTGTCTTCGAAATATTGCTCGTATATCCTGGGACCATCGAGTAAGTAATGCAGTTGTTAGGAAACGGGTACTAGGTAAGGATGGCAAATCAATTGATGAAGTAGTGAAACTTCATCAATTGAGATGGCTGGGACACGTGTTACGTATGCCCAACGACCGACTACCTCGACGTGCGATGTTCAGTGGTATAGGAGTAGGTTGGAAGAAAGCTAGGGGCGGCCAGACCAAAACATGGCACAAGTCCATGAAGTCACTGACAAGTGGACTGAGTCATGTTGGTAGGTGTAAACTACCTGGTTGGGGACCGCGAGATGATGGCAACCGATGGCTAGAGACCCTAAATGACATGGCTCAAAATCGTTTGCAATGGTGCAGGTGCGTACACTCTTTGTGTCCTCCCAAATTTTGATATCCTTATTCCTCCTTGTCTTTTTTTCTCTTCCCAAATTTTTTTTCACTGTATTATACTCTTTAAGTAACATCTCCAAACTCTAATCTTTCCGATTACTGCTTATACTCTTACTACCTCTACCACTACGGAATTCGAGTCGACTGCATCCCTATGCTAATGTGGTGTAGTAACTCGAACTGATGTACGTACGTACGAAGTTCTACGTTGTTACTGACTGACTGACCGACATTATCAGAAACGGGTCATGATAGAAGTCATTAACGATCCTGCCATATCTTTCTTTTATATTCTTCACAAAAGTTAGAGGAACCCCATCAATTGAAGAGTATTTTTTCTTGTATTCTCAGGCGATCCGTATCTTTCCGTATCTTTCAATAACATCTCCAAACCCTAATCTTTCCGATTACTGTTTATACTCTTAATACATCTACCACTATGGGATTTGGATCGACCACTGCATCTCTGTGCTAATGCGGTATGGCAACTCGAACTGATGTACGAAGTTCTACGTTGTTACTGACTGACTGACTTTTTGTTAGCTGATTTCTATTTTCATCGGTTTTGCCTTTATTTACAATTATCTTGTTCTGTGGGGAAGAGGGAGGAGTGTTGTATAATCTACAGTATACTAATATTAAGATTTTACTTAGTGTAACTGAACTGAATTACTATATATTTTCTAATCTGGTGTTCACACAGTCTAAGCTTCTAAGAAGTTTTATTCTTTTGCTAACTGGCATTCGATGGATATTCGGTTAGTTATTTTACCTGTTTCACAATCTAAATTCAATTGATTTTTATTTTTTGTTTTGTAGTCCTTAGGGATATGAACTCTTGAATACAACTATTCTTTGTGGTTATAGCTTTCATTAGTTAACGGCCAACAATTCTCAATAGATAACTAATAATTTCTCACTTTAGACACATTAAAGTTGATTAAGCGATTCTTAGAAATAACTCATGAAATCCTGTTAATAATAGCCTTCAACTAAAGTTGTTCAGAAGAGTATTCGAAAGTAAGTTCTGTAGGTTAAACGATTATTTTATTAAACTGGTTCTCACCATAGTATCAGGTTAATTGGAGTTGGCATGACTTTTGTAGCATTCCTGTAAATACAGTATTGTTCTCATCCGTCATCATACCTAGTTACATATATTCGGTTACAGCGAACCAGATATGATCATCCTTTATTATTTTCCAGGCACTAATAATATTTTGGCTACTTTCATTTTCATCCTGCTAATTTCCTTCCCTTGTTTGTTTGTTGCCTGGTGGCTGGGGACTTTATGTGACAGCTCAAAATCTTTCACAATGACGCAGATCCATTCACTCTTTATCGTCTTGTGAATATTGAATCCAAGTATTCCTTCTACATACATCTTTTTGACCTGTTTTTCTAACCACATTCTCAACTCTTATTCCTTCTTATTGTCGTTACTACTAGATTGTTTCGATGGTATGGCTACTTTGACCAACGCACATCCGTGCCAGACTGTACTTTGATGATAACTGAATGAAAGTCTGTGTACTAATGCCAAGTGTGACAGTTTAGGCGGACATACATATTTCAGGCTCTACTGTGTGTATGATTGATTGGTACCAACTAATTGTCATCTACATTTTTAATACCTATTGACTTCCATTAAATGCCATCAATGCGCTTAGTTTACCGTTGTTTGTTGTAGAAATTAAATGTCGACGAAACCACTTGATAGCTATGCGTAATATTATCTTCATTAGTCTTCAATAATTATTAATTAGATGTTATTTTAATTTCTTTTTCTGTGGTTTTTAGCGCAACGGTCTTCCACGTTTCAATTTACGCTATACTAATGTACTTCATTATCCAAAATATTCCAGTCGTAAAAATTCAGGCTTTGAAAGACGTCTTAAGTAAGTCAATTAGCGTTTATTACTACTATTTACTTATTTATTATCACTATTTTAATAGTTAATGCAATTTATTTTAGTTAAACAACCATTGAATAAAAGGAAACATTGGACGTCTGTTTCGTTAAATACTTTATTCAACAAATAGAGTAGTCACAAATCTGTTAATTTCATTAAGAATAAAATCTATATCAACATAATAAACGATCTAGATGACGTTAAAATTAACTTTAACTCTGCGTAAGGTCTATCGCCCTGAGTATCATTATAATATGTACAATGAACAGTGTGAGAATATTATTGGTATGACTTGTGAATTGAATGCTGGTTGTGTTGCTTTCTGTATCTGGTCGTCACTGATTGTTATGTCAGAAACGCTTATCACTTATACTCGGAACGAGGGACCTCCGCAATTCCCACGACGCGAAAGTAAGAACACAAAGACTGGTATAAGTGAATATTTATTAACTCCAAAAACATGACGACAACGACCTTAGTCGAAAATACACTCATTTATATATTGATTCGTACACCCATTTTGATTAATATTTAGAATGAAATCACACATAAAAATACTTAGAGTTATAATAAATCATATACTGAGCATAGTTCATATCAATTGAATACAAGAATATCGTATACTATACAGAATAAGATATCATACGAGGAAACAAAACAAATATTACACTGAATAATCATTGCCCCCAAATGCCCTGGTACGCCCAAGAGGGGGGAGAGTCCGCTCTCCCTCTCCAAACGCTCTCACATGGCCACGCGTATATAGCCTCTGCCAGGGAAGTCCTACTCATTGCCTTCTCGTGGCGTGGGTGTTGTTTACATAAATGAGCGGACGAAAAGCGAACGTCCGGCGCTTTAACTGGGTTGGTGGACACGGAGAGTCCACCTAAAAGAGTTGGAAAATCCTGATTTCAAATCAGTGGTTCACATGGGGTCCAGTATCCTAAAGGGACAAATGGCGTATGAACCAATTGTTGGTCACCGGCTACCATGGAACTGCATCTCCTTACGATCTCCACTGCCTTGTGGATCAGACGTTCAGGTCGAAGGCTCCGGGTGTGGCCTCCCAAGAAAACCACATGCTTCGGTTTGGGCACTCGGGCAGTATCACAGCACTCACACATATCAAATTAGATCTGTGTGGCGCATATGTATTTGGTGCCTTCTTGTACCAATATCTATGTGTTAAAATAAATAAATTTAAAAAAAATAATCATCACATTGAATCAGGACGGAAGTAATGTTGAACAAAACTCATAATGAGTAAATCAATTGAATTTTGACTTTTCTTTCCATATTATCAATTATGAATGATGATGAGACTGGTTCGAAGCTGATCACAACCACACAAAGCCTTTATCTATAATGTTTTTTCTCTAACCAATGAATCGCATTGTTCTGTTCCCGTATTCTCTGTTAATTTCATCCAAAAAAATCTTTTTTTATTTCTACTCTCAATTGTATTTTCTTTTAAAACCGTTAACTAGTGTACACCATTGAATGTTTATTAATTTTATTTCTGTTTATTTGAGCTTTTTTATCCTCAGTAAGTTTAAAAGTTGTACCACAGACAGATGATTGACATGTATCAAAATATAAACTAATTACTTCAGTTCGTCAGATATCAACAACATGTGATCAATCACTGTGTAGTGGCCAATGTTGTATTTGTCTTTCCCTTTTGTGCTGATCGAATTCTGTCTATCAGGTTTCTGACGAGCTTCAAGTAGCACGAATTCTAAGTTCAGTATTTCCTGTCGACTATCTTTAACCAACTAACACCAAAACATTGTGCACGTGAAATCGGGTCACATGGTAACTTGATTGATAAAATTCGATCAGTACTAAAGAACTATGTTCAGGGTTTTCTGTCGACTGCCTCTAGCCAATTAACATCACATTTAATCACCTGGCACGAATATGCATTGGTTCAAATTCCCTTAACCGTAAATCAGTAGTATGAGATAGGAAATTAATAAGATATATAACAAAGAAGCCAAAATAACATTAGTAACAATGATATTAAAATTTATTTGCGTGTTTTTCAATAAGCGATAAAACAGTTGATAAGGTTTTGAATCTTTATCGACCATAAGACAACCTGTCTATGATCTTAGCTAATGTTTTGCGTGAAAGTTGAAGGTATTTGTACTAAGACTAGTCATCGAATTTTTTAAAACATATTCCGAATCACAGACTTTCTCATCTAGATGAAGTACACATTACAAACAAAATAAATGGTTAGAAGAGATCATTGAATTCTGTAACTCGAAATTAATTACACTGATCCAAACTACTGACACATTTCTTCTCTTTATGCTCCTATCGGTCTTGTATATCATTTTGTTATTACTATTAATATCGTCTGTTTTATATTTTTCTTGTATGCTATAGAGGTGGATTGTATAAATAAACGAGATTTCTAATTGTTAAAATAAGTAAAACTCTATGCTTTGATAAACAGATGTACACAATCATATATCTTAACCGAGTAGTGATGGCTACTCACATGACACAGTTATTGAGTCGAATGGCCGAAGAAACAAATGAATACTACTGGTAGTTAGAAGAATAGAATATTTTGTCACATAAAATAAACATCGTTAGAGTTCATTAAATGATTGGAGGATATTACTTTTAATGGTTACTCACTCTCCAGTAAATTAAGATTCGACTGTTAAACTGGATTTAAACCTACCATATAACTGTACCCATTTGTTTTTGCTTTTTGGGCTATTGTGTAAGAGGACATTGCGGATACCAACGTTGTCAGACGCCACATATCCGAAAAGAAATTCAACGATTATAAAACAATGAACTAGTTATTTGTATAGTCTACAAATCATTTTTACAATTTACGCATGCACCTATTGTAGGCTATTAATTAAATTATTGACTGATTTAAGGGTAAGTTAAGAGAGTTAGGCCGAAACATGGCATCATGTCATAAAGTCATAGACTGTTGGTTTTAGTCATGCTGATATATCAGTGTACTTAGTTCAAAGGGTGGTACTTGTTGGGTCGGCTTCCAGAGAACTTCAACGGAGCCTCCAGAGGCCCAAAAGGAGCCGAAGAGTCCTAGCCAATCAGAGTGTGATGGAACGTTCTAGAATTCCAACGTGGCGTGCTACCATTGGTCGGTAGCATAATGTGTTGTTATCGGATTGGCTGTAAATTGATGTTGATTTAACAGACGCCAAAATCTATAAATACCCATGATTTTCTGTACAAAAATGAACCTTGGAATAAAGTGCTTTCTCTCATTCCTGTGTCTTCTCTCTGGAGTTCAAGTCGCTGTGTAGTTCTAGACTGCGGGTTACCGAAATAGCTTAGGAATCGTATATAGCGTTCAACCTACACGACTTATCAGTGGCGACGGGGATGAAAACTTCAATGAATATTTCCTTGGAGCAATTAGAAGCTTATATGGTGCGTCAAGAAAAAAGGTTTGAAGAGTCCCATATTAGAATCATGGAAACCCTGATGCAGAAATTCTGCCTGTCCGAGAAAAACCCTGCTTCTAGTGAATCTCAAGTATCACATACTGATTCAGTCATTAACGCCATCCATGAATTTAATTTTGATGGTGCAGCAGGTGTAACTTTCGAGTCGTGGTTTAAGAAGTATGAAGATTTGTTTTATATTGATCTTTGCAAACTGGATGATGCTTCAAAAGTCAGAATACTTCTTAGAAAACTTGGTACTATGGAACATGAACGCTACAGCAACTTCATTCTTCCGAAGAACCCACGAGATTTTAGTTTTGATGATACAGTCAAAACCCTATCCCAAATATTCGGAGAACAATCATCTCTATTTAATATCCGTTACCAATGCTTAAAGTTAACAAAAGAACCAGGAGATGATTGGGTAAAGCATGCAGGAACGGTGAACCGAGAATGTGAGAGGTTTAGATTGTCATCCATGTCTGAAGATCAGTTTAAATGCTTAGTGTTTATCTGCAGCCTGCGTTCACCCGAAGATGCCGATATCCGAACCAGACTCCTAAGCAAACTCGAACACTGCCCTAATATGACCCTGCAAGAAGTGACTACTGAGTGCCAAAGGTTAGTAAACTTAAAGCATGATACCTCAATGGTAGAAAACGGTAACTCTTTCCGTAACGTCAATGCAGTTAAGAGAAAAGTCTTTCAAGGTTCCAGTACCCATAATTTCCAAAATAACAGCGACAAACCACCATCTCCATGCTGGGCATGTGGAGGTTGGCACTATAAGAGTTTTTGCCCATATAAAGAACATCGTTGCAGCAAATGTCATCGAAAGGGGCATAAAGAAAACTTCTGCAGGAGAAGAGACTATAGAAAACGTTCCGTGAAATCTTACTCAAAGAAATACAGATATAGTGCTCCAACCAACAAGATATTGGTATCACATAACAGAGCACGAAGCTGCCACCAAAGAAAGTATGTGACCTTGAATATCAATAAACACCGTGCCCGTCTTCAGCTGGACACAGCTTCTGATATTACTTTAATCAGCCCAGAAACGTGGAAGAACATTGGGAGACCCACAGTTTTCCCAACAACACAGCTGGCACACAGTGCATCTGGGGGGAAGCTGAATATTGTTGGAGAAATACCATGCACTGTTTCTAAAGGTACGGTAACAACAAATGCAACATTGTATCTTACTAAGAAGCCAGCACTAGACTTAATGGGGTTGGACCTTATAGAAACACTTAAACTAGCAGATCATTCTATCAACAGTATCTGCAGACGAGTAAGTACAGACAACACCCCAGAATGGAATCAGAAAAACGCCATGCTACAAAGACATCAAAACGTGTTTAGAGAAGGATTGGGAGAATGTACGAAAGCTAAAGCACTGTTAACCTTAAAACCTGAAGCTGCTCCCATTTTTCGACCTAAAAGACCCGTACCCTATGCTGCTCTCCCAATAGTTGAACAAGAATTACAACGACTTCAGCAAATGGGTGTTATCGAGCCTGTGAACTTCTCGAATTG